CCCGACGTTAATGTTTCAGTAAGTATTTTTTAGAAGTATTTTTTTAATTAGTGTTTTGTATCATACAAGAAAAAAATGTAACTACTGATGCTTCTAATATCAAGCTAATTATATGTAAAGTATTTAAAATATGTAGCAAATTTTATATTGGTATGCATCGTACCTGATAATGTAATATGTAGACGTTGACCATTATTAAAATTATTTTTATGTGAAAAATGGTTTGATATATAAAAATTTCACTTCATATTTGTATCATATCAATTTAATTTTGATATCGATTTCCATTAAATATAATTAAATAAAAATTTCCTCATATTATTTCTTCTGAATTCAGAACAATTAAGACGATTTATTTGATGCATATCAGTATGAGTAAGTGTCCAGTAGATATCTTTTATATGAGATATTATTTATGAATAGATAAATCGATCTATCAAAGGCTGAAATATATCTATTAATAACTGATAATTAAAATAATTTATTATGTTAAAATAAATTCACTATATTTAGTTTATGCCAAGCGTTTATTGCTCATATAATTTTCCCTAATACTATGTAAATTTTGTATTATAAAAAGGTTCAAGTTCAATATTCATTTTAATTATGTAACAAATTTTATAAATTATTAATAAATTATATATTATATTAATTATATAACAAAATTTTGCGCATTTGTTCAGAGTTCAAAAATAAATTTTGTTATTATAAAACATATCAAAAATAATGTATTCAACTTTCAGCATATCATGAACCTATTTTGTGGTAAAACGTAAAGCAAACACATCTTTTTACTATCAATGTTTATGTCAAAGCCTTTCGAGTGCAAAGCCTTTTCGACAATATTGATGAGCTCTACAGATTTAAATCTCTATAATGATATATGTATATATGGTATTTTACCTACTAACTTCACATTAGTGTTAGTTACTTGCAAATTTCAAATATTTTTTCATTAGAATTCACCAATAAATGTACATGTAACAACGACAAATACTTGTATCTCTGTGTAAAATATGAGGCTGCGAAAAATGATTCAAACAGTTAAGGAAACGCATGTACGAAAGCCAAATGTTATCAGGTAAGGAGACTAAAGGTGCTAGGGTATAATGGTTCAACATCGATATTTTAAAAACAAGTTAAGGACTTTTTAACAACATTATTTGAAAGTAGAGGAAAAAAGATGTATAACCTCTTTATTGAATATTCAATAAAAATGTCAAGATTCAATATGAAGTAAGCAGCAAAAAAAACAAAAAAACAATTTCTTATGATAAAACGGAACAATATACATAGAAGCATGTGTATTTGATTTTAAATAAAAAGCGATGGATAAATAAAACGAACGTCGGTAATGGATGCAGAAATTGCGAAACACCACCTCAATAAAACGGCTAGTGAGGGTGTGTAAAAAAGTAAAATAAGTTAAAAAGAGCAAGTTTACAAGATAAATTAAATTAGATATTCCAATTCTGCAGATGAATATTTCTGACAAAATACTAGATCGAGGTTATATACAGTGTTATCTCTATAGCAAATGTACTCATGAAATATTTATTTAGGATTGGTCAAATATTGTAGCTTTTGTTTCGTGAAAATTAAAAAGAAGACATTCGACCTGTTTGGTAAATAAGACCAGGTGACAAATTTTTTAAAAACACATTTTCATAATTAAGAATTGACTGGGTATTTTAATAAAAATAGTTCGGTAGTTGCATGTTTGATACGCGGTAAATGTTGTGATGTAGTCCAAGTGATTTAGACAGTGTAATTACTTAAATTCACATTGGGTCTTTGTGCTACGCCCCACCATATTAAATATATAATTACTAAATGAAATATTTATTTAGCATTGGTTGAATATTGTACCTATTATTTGTAAAAATTAAAACAAGACATTCGATTGCACCCTGGACGTACTATTTTACCCCGCACATGGGATGGCAAATTTTTGAAAAACAGTAAATAAATACTTTTTCATAATTAGAAATTGACTGGTTATTTTAATAAACATAGTTCGATAATTGCTTGTTTGATACGTATTATATGTTGTGTTGTAGTCCATGTGGTACAGACAGTGTAATTACTTAAATTCAAATAGGGTCTTTGTGCTTCGGTGAATATTCAATAATTAAATGTCAAAATGCAATATGAGGTAAGCAGTAAAAATTACAAAAATGTAAATTTCGTATAATAAAACGGAAATATATACATGAAAGCATGTGTATTTAAATTTAAATAAAAAAAGTAATGGATAAATAAAACGAACGTCGGTAATGGATGCAGAATTTGGGAAACACCACCTCTATAAAACGGCTAGTCGGCGTGCAGGGCGGCTCTATGCTTTATACTCTATGACTCTATGCTCAATGCTCTACGCTGCGGTCGCTTGGCAATAAAACGCGCATCAACTACGCTACATTAATTTGGTATAATATTTTTCGTTTTTTCTTTATCTTTTTTGCTTTTTGCTCCTTTTCGGAGCGCACAATTGATATTGCCTTGCCTGTGAGCAAAGCTCGCCGTTTAGATGTAACGCCGGGACGTAAATATGCATTTGTTGTCGCAGAAGCGAGACTCAAAGCATGTTTTTCCTAAAATATTTCTTTACGGAATAATGCTTTTATATTCTAGCGATGCGCATACTGAAACTTCTGCTCTACAAAGAACAGATATGGTCGATATAATAACATAACGGATATATAGAGATCTATATTACAATTATTAAAAGCCTCGTCTTATAAGACTACATCTAGGGATACGCAACATCATCTTGAACTGATTCGAATCACCTATCAAATTTACAACTAAACGCTAGAAACATTGATCATTACATAGATATTATTCTTTACACATCAACACGTGAGTTTGTCGTTTTGAACATTTTTCTATAAAGTAATACAATATTGATAAATATATAACCCTCTATGGGCCAAATTTTTGGTTTCACATCAAAAAAAAAATTAGCGTAACAAAAAACAGTAATTGTGAATCTATATATACAAATCAAAAACAAAATATCTACTTAAACTTGTTTTGGTATTAATGAATATGTGGCTGAAGTCGCAACGGCCTATCCTGTTCCCACTTCTGTGTATAAAAATGTTTTAATTTGAAAAACTTAGCAATGGATATAAATTAATATTGTTCATCTAGCCAACATTATAGATTTAAGATGTTTGCGTCATCTGATGAAAGAAACCATAATTATTTGGTAAAATATCGAAATTCTAATGTGATCTGAAAGTTAGGCGGGCTCAGAAGGTTAATGTTGTTTATTTGATGAGAAATATTTTATTGTTGTATATGCAATCATAAAAGTAACTAGAACACCGTCTTATATAGATATAAACATTAAAAAACTTTTATTTTCTCAAAGAAAATACGGACAAATTGCATCAAACTTTTGTTTATATCATTCCTACAAGTATACTTTTGACTACGCAGTTGAATTAAAATTGTAGATTTTCATTTAATAAACGTAAAGAATACGCCTATATTTGTATCGTTGTTTTTAGAACTGTCATTTTTGTAACTCGTATATTACATCGATTTTGAACCCAACCCAACAAAAAGGGTTATGAAGCTGGATGATTTACGGCTGATAACTCTACCCATCTTTAATTAAACCCAGAAATTGTTAATTAAATATAAAAAATTCATTAAAAAAGTATGGACGTATTTGTTTAATAGTTAGTTCTCTGATGCTATTGAACAAATATAAAAAACTATTCATTATAGATTTAAAAAACATTCAAGGTAAATTTATTACTAACATAAAAAAGAGAGAAGCACTAATATCAAAAAGTTGTTTTCATTATTAACGATTCCAAGAAGTCTATGTTGCCGCCAATGAAATCTGATTTGCGAGTTTTATGTTTTCTCGATGTTTCGTCAAAGATGTCATTCTGAATCGGTTGACACAAAATTTGGAAATAGCAAGTGTGTGTGTGCTAATATTTGATCATTCGTTGACGTTTTCTTAATCCAAAATTGATCAGGTTTGAAACTCGAATTTTGATCCTTTCGAAAATTTATTAAACTCGATAAAGAGTAAGTTTTGGTTAATAAAGAGTTGGGACAGCCGATTGGGCATTTCTTTAGGATTAACAGAAAGGACCCGAATTTCTTGTACAAATTTTTGCAACAGATCCTGAACCTAGAAAACTCAAAGGTAATCATTCTGAAATCGTTCTGCCAGGTTTTTAAATTGAGATAGGCCGTTTCTTTGCAACTAAAATATCATAGTTTTATATCAATAACTTACAGTATTCAAACTATTTGTCGCAAATAACAGGCACATTGGTAATGTTGTATTAAATATTCCTAATATTTTCTAACATTATGTGCAACTTATAATACACTCATAAATATTATTTACAGATCAAGAAGTTCAACCAATTTGTGCCTTAAGGCGTTAAACAAATTGCCACTTACAACTAGTTACTAATGCATTCAGTTTTTGACTCGAATATATTGAATATCACTGTTCAGTAATTTGTTTCACACCATCAAAAACCATTTACAGTAATATAGATAGGATTGTTAATTATTACGTATGAAAATTAAAATAATTTTGATTATAATAGAATAAATGGTCATTTTCATTATATCAATATAATTATCGCAATTTTAAATGGACTAAAGTGTTCTTTTCCAATAATTTATCCGCATTTGTGGTGATTGCAATGAAATCCGATAAATAGATTAATGAAAAAGCATATATATGAAAAATTATGTATATTGTATTTCTGCCATACGCTACATGGAAATATAAAATTCATTTATATATGCAAAATAAATTCAAACACGACTGCAAAATATATAGGTGTTTAAAACCACTAAACCTTATCGAAATCGTTATTCGTTAAAATATGCAATGATACCGAACACCGGATTCGATGAATAAAAATCGTACATAACACAAATATCATATTAATATGAATCGGAGGTTGCAAAATTATTGATGTATTTGTTATTAATATATTTTCATTTTTCAGTGGATGCTCGTGACATGGCAATCGAACGCTTGTCAAAATTGAGCTCGGGCCTGTACACCGGGGCGTATCTGGACGGGGGTCCCGGGCCGATAAATATTACAACGCAACTGGGCACACACGCCTATCTGCCGTGCAGGGTTAAACAATTAGGTAATTATTAAATAATATCAATTTATATATTACTTTTTTGTAGACATTACCTATATACTCATTACATAATTTCCAAAAAATTTTATGACAAATATAAACTTTTACGTGCTACCTCATAAGGAGCCCACTTGTTACTTAAGGCTCACAAGGGGAGAAGGGTTTGACAAAATAAAATCATAAGAAAGTGTCTAGTAAGATATCACGTATATTTATTTTTTGCCTGAATTTAAAACAAATTACATTTTTTTTTTTAAATCTCAAAAATTTTTAGTACTAAAAGTACACGTGATGTTGAGTGCAAGAGGTTGTTCAATTTTAAATATCACCACTCATCACCAAGAGTAAGGGATCCCAAAAATCCCTAAAACACTATCACGTGATTAATGGACGCCTCCTAAGTGATTTCATTTTACTAGTAATAGTAAAATGAAATCACTATAGTAATGAATCATCATAGTAATAAAGTACATAAGTATATTTTATGTCTTGCATCTGTTTTTTTTTATATTATATAAACCCTAAATTTCTTTTAAGGTTTATGTCCCAAACCAATAAATTTAAAACTAACGTAGAAAGTCTGTTTCAACACTGTGATAATTTAATAAATTGGCTGTGTATTGACCGGAATATTCGTCATGAAAAAGTGGCAGAATTTTGTGTATAGATGAGTATACTCGTAAGGTGACCATACGTCCCGGTTCATTAAAATCAAATTGATTTTTGTTGCATTCCTAAATAGTATTTGCTATTTAAAAAAATAAGTTTTGTTGCTAATATACACCCCCCCCCTTCCATAATGGATTACCGTCCATATATTAACTAAAAATTACCGTCCCGGTTTTGACTTAAAAAAAAATATGGTCACCTTAATACTCGTCAAACTGCAATTGTTCAAAATAGAGAAACAAAATATATTATCATATTTTAGGAAAGGACCGGCCGTGGTCCCGTGGTAAGAACGTGGGCTAGCAAATCCTAGTCCCGGGTTCGAATCCAACCTCGGTCGGTTCGGTATCAAAGCAGCTTGATACCAAATTTTCACTTGAAATCATAGATTTCAAATATGTTTTCAAGTGAAAATGGCCTTTCGTGGGCATAGCTGTAGTGGCAACATGCCACTTGGAAGTAAAAAGTCATCACTATTACAGCAATTGTAATAATAAATTCAGCACATAGAGATGGGACAACTGTTTGGGTTGCCATCTATAATAATTGTCAGATAATTAATTGATCACAACAGCTCATAGAACTCATAAGTTCTGATCGCTGTTAAAAATATAAAAATATATATATATATATATATATATATATATATATATATATATATATATATTTTAGGATTTGTAGAATATTTTGAGGCATAAAATAAATAGTTGTGAGTAGAAGAGAAAATAATATTTTGCCCCGATTCAGACAAAAACTGTGCGCACAGTTCAATGAGCGCTCCACACTTAACCGGTTAAGAAATATATTGTGCTCCGATTTAGGTTTTCTGATGATTTTATTTTTAAATAGAAGAGAAATATACTGTCGAAAACTAGTTAAGATGCTCTGATAAGCCAATTATCAAAAATAATAATTGGATTTATTGGATATTATTAGAGTTTTTATGAAAGAATGCATTCTGAGAATTATATATTTATTTTATAAGGGTACCGCGTTATGGGAAGGTTGACTGTAATACAAAATTTTATTACATAGAATATATAGAAACTTGCTGGAGGTAAAAGATTATATTTCATTGTTATCCAGTTTGTTCTTTATTCGGCTCTATATACCATACATTGTTTAGAATCGCATTGCATTCCAAAAACATGCATATCGGATGCATATTATTATTATCAATTTTATTACTTTATATTTTATTTTTATTAGTTTTATTATATGTAAGAAAACAAAATTCCACATTCAAATCGCAAGCTGGCTATGGCTTCATGGTAAGAAAGAAGAAATCACGTGCCTTGAACAGCCTGATATCAAATAGCAGTGATATCAAATAGTAGTCATATCAAACATTCACCTGATATTACTGAAAATTTCGGTGCATTACTGCCAACATATCCACATAAAAATTACATATCTAATATAATCTCACCAGAAAGAGAGGAGTCAACTGCTGAGTTGCCTTGCAGAAACACTAAGGTACTAAAAGAGCTCATACAGTATTATTTTACTGTTTAAAAGGTTCATCTCGCTATTTGGTTAAGATATCATAAAGATTATATTTTAATTCTGATGCTATGATAAACTTGAGTCCTAGATAATAATTTTTCAAAATCTATTGAATCATCAATACGCAAATCTGTTTATTCACTAATCCGTCATTTTACATATTGTGAATCTATATTATAGCCAACGATGTATATTCAAGTACATTTTGCATACAATGTATGTTAATATCGCTCTTACTATGAAAAAATATTTTATTAGGAAATAGAAATGAAAATTACGCACAATTATCCCTGGCAAAATTTTAATACATTGCACGGTATTATAAAATATTATGCTGAATTATAGAACACATACTTAAATGCGTACGTTGTGGTATATCTTACAATTAATGTTGCGTAATGCAATAATATAACAACCACATTATTTCTGCTTCTGTAACATGGAAAACTGAACACTGCATTATTGCACTTAAAATAGCTGACTATTCGACAATAAATCAATCATTTTCTGAACAGTTAATGCATGGAGGGTGTCATCTTTTCATTCCATGTGATTGATGTGTTATTGATTTAATCATTCTATAAGAGTGTGTCTCCCATTATCAAATGGAACTGCATGAAGTCGAAGCAAACATTGAGTAACCGCAGAATATGAGGAATAATGAAATATTTATGAAATCTAGTCAGGCGCGTGATTCAAGAAGATTGTATTATTTATAAATTGGTATTTAATACAGCGAAGACTTCTAACAAAACAGATATTATCTCAAGATAAAAGACCCGATCGATCTTGTAAAGAAATATCAGAATATTCAGAGACATGATACGTTTACACAATGATATATGATATATGTAAGAACAAATTTATTTTGCACAAAATTGTATGAATATATGATAGTCTATATTGAGGAATGATGGAATTAGTGACATTAGGATTTTATTAAGCATCGTAACTTTCATGTACAAGTTTTTTTATATGACGTTAAGAATAGCATACATATATTTGGGGTAAAAAAACGTTCACATTGATAAGGATCAAACTACAAGAAAATAGTAACAATGAGGTAAAATAAATTAATACGTAAAAAATGTGCTCATAAAATATGTATTTCAAACAGAAATTGTAACAGAAATGCTTATTAAAGCAAGATTTATGTTAGTAATAAGATTTGATTTTTTTGTTTATTATGTTTAAACATACATATTTATATTATTTATTTTTATTAATTTGCTGTCGAACCTAATTTTTTTTTTTATTTTATTAAAATAAAAAAAATATTAAAACCTAATTACACTACATCGCATTATTAAAATTATTTCGGAAAATTGCTAACAAATTAAAAATTAAACTAGTTGGTATTAGTATTTTGCCTTGAAGCATAAATACATAAACTTCCCGATATGTGTAACTTATCAGCCTAATCAATAAAAAATAAATTAATTTATGAGTGATTAGAAGTATTACGAGTGGATTTATTACACATAATTGAAAACGAACGAACACGTTAACTCGGAGTATTTTCCTAAAGCAAATTTTCAAAAATTAATAATTTTTATAATTGAACCAGTTTCGGTTGGACTTGGTTTAGTATGTTCATTAAGACCAAGTACTTTATCGTTATACCGAGTAAATTGTCTAATTTTAATGGTAACAAACTTCAAAGAAACTACTCATTTTCTCAAACTTTGATGATTTTTTAAAATTAAACTACTTGTCGTAAGGTTGCAATATTTCAGTAAGTTCTATAAGACCATGATATATATCACCAAAAAAAGTTCCATAAAAATCGGCTTCAATTCATTTCTGAAAATCGGTTCAGGCGTTTTTGAGAAAACGTCGATCAAAGGTCTAATTTTGACAAATGCCAAAAAAACGATACTAATTTTTGCAAACTTTGAAGAATTTTCAAAATTAAACGGCTTGTCGTAGGGCCGTAATATTTTAGTATGATCTACAAGACTATGGTATCTGGACTATGGTACCATAAAAAAAAACATAAAAATCGTCGAACTTTTTTTTTAAACTTTATTATAAGAAAACGGCCCGTCCGATCTTTACCAAAAACTAATCAATATCTATCGAATGGTTTTGGAATTTTCAAAATAGATTCAGAATTGCGGGCTAAAACGTGGACGAAAATTTTTTCACTTTTTTGCTATTTACAAAGAAACGGCTTGGCTGATTGTCGCGCAACGCTAATCCTCATTGCGATACATCGAATGGCTTTTCAATTTTTGAAAACCGTCCATCCGTTTTGGAGAGATTTACGGCAAAAAATCTGTTCACACACACACTCACTTTTCCCAAATTTGGTCTCATTCGATTCAGAATGGCTTGAAACGTCAAGAAAACATAAAATTAGCGAGTCGGATTTTTTGATGAAAACATAATCTTCTTCTTTGGGAAGTTAATAGTAGATCTTTTTGTCTCCTGGCTTTCTCTTTTTAAGCCACTTATGGGGTGCAAAAGACCAGATGACAAATATTAGACAAAAATGCAAAAAAATCATTTCTAAAATGAGGAATTAACTGCAAATTTTACTGAACATAGTTTGATAGTTGTTCGTGTGATATGTGTTATTTATTGTAATATAATTGGTTTGGTTTTCACAGTATTATTGTTAAGGTCTAACTGCACCTTTGCGCCCCACCCTACCCTATATATATAATGTGTATGTTTAATTTTTTTTTTTATAATTGTGATGTGAAAGTGTAAGTATAAAATCTTGAGTAGATCAAATAAAAGTCGCACATTTAAAATAAATTAATACCAGGCGTTTCGTCAGATAATCGTATGTCATCGTCATTAGAAATTTTACATTGAATACA